CAAAGGTGCCAGTTCTGCTTCACCACCATGGGGTAATGTTGGGTTCACTCTGCTGATGAAACGCCGCAGCAGCACGCGGCCCAGTCGTGCTATCTCCTACATATGCGCGCGCCGCACTCAGGTACTAGAGGGTCCACCCTGCCACGATTGTGGCGGCACGTTGCATTGCATTTGCTTTCCAGGCTCAGCCGTGAAACACGGAGACGTCGAACGGCGACGCGAAGGACGGCGACCGTTTGGACGGACGGGCGACACATGCGCCACGGATTCCGGGAGCTCACCACCCACTTTGTAGGCTTGGAGGACCCGAGCTTTTGGGTGGGAAGTGGAAAGAGAGGTCTTGAGTGTAAAGACACACCAGACTCAGAAGTCTGAGCACCTTGCAAAAGATCTCCGTGCCTTCTTCATGATACTTGTTTGACGGGCTGGTTTCGCAGAATAAGCTGAGGGGAGTCAGCGGTCAGATATGAGGAGACCAGCCTCATCCAGCCACGGCTGCCTCTCAGGTGGCCAAGGCTTCTCGGCGGTTCCGATCAGAGGCGCCGTGCAGTTCCGGGTGGCTTTGGTTTGGACATCAGGGTTTTATGGTTTTGGAGCTCAAGTACTCGACCGCAGAGCTATTCTTTTTGGGAGTAGTATGGATTTGTTAGAATATATGTGGCATCAAAAGTGGATGTATAATGATCATTAATGATCCAGTTCAGATCGATGTGACTCAGTGATTTAGATATGTTATGGCAAATGTTGGCCAAACCATGCCAAACCCGTGCAGGTTACTGCTCGGATTTTGCTTGTAGTATCTTGTAGTTAGCGTGCTGGATGCTCCTTCGTTTCTTGCATAGCCTGCAAAACGACCTGCAAGCGCTGAGAAATGACCAAGATCATCCCACACTTTTAGGCTATGAATCCATGGCATCCATTGTAATTGGCAAGCCCCTCAATGAACATGACAATAATATACAATAAGAATACTGTAATAAGGACTGTTCTCTATCCGGCACTGCGTGCGATCTGAAGACTTGGGCCTGTTCAAATTTGGGCCTGTTTTCTCGGCCTCACATTTTCGGAGATTTTGGTGGTCAGCAATCTCGGATGTGAATCCACACAAGCATTATGGAGGACATGTTCAGATGTCGTTTGACCATGTTTGACAAGGTCCGTGTGCGAGGAGGTCTTAGGTGCTGTGAGGAACCTAGATGTCAAGAGGAGTTTGCACAGTTAGTCACTTGGGTGATACACTTTTTTGATTTGTTATTTTGTTTGGGAGATTCGCCTCCGACACCCCTGATATGCAATCACATGCTTCTATGTCAGAAAAGGTCAGGAAACAAAACAGTAATATTCTTGTGTTTTACCCTGCAAGATGTTGGGCTTGCCTCTCTTTGTATGTATGCTGTGTGCGTATATATGAAATCATACATATAGTAACTATAACTATGGTTATATGCTATAATTATATAATATACTAATATATAGAGATGTGTTTTTTGTCCCCGCATTTTTTCTGTTGAATTGCGCTTGTCGTCAGGCTATGTGTGTGTGCTTCTCAATGTCCATCAGAAATGAAGTGGATCGGTGAGTCAATGCGGCAATGCGCCTTTTACATCCTTTTACTGCTTTGTTTGGTGAATAGAGCCACAGATCCCCCTCCTCCAGAGAGCCCAAAAAAGGAGGGTGTAACGCCACTGACGTCCAGTCCAGGATGGTGTACGCCCTTCGCCGCTCGGCTGGAGTTCGGCATTCGGCCAGGCCCTGAGGCTCTCCGGCCTGATGCTCCACCCGCGGAGCCCACGAAGGAGACCCGCGGCCGCTGGGCTGAGTTCAAAGGAAGACGAGTAGTTTTTCAGAACTGATCAAAGGAGAAACTCAGGAGCTGATCAAAGGAAAAATGCAGAGTTCATGATTGTTCAACGAGTTCATTGCAGTAGAAATTCAGGCCATATTACGGGGACTGTTGGACCGTAGTTTGATGTATTGCTGCACCAAGGGGTCGCAAGGGGTAGAGACCTCACAGTCACAATGCAGTGCACTTCCGATCCAACCGACCTGGTGGCTATATACCCATGCTCCTCATTCCGCCACCTCTTTGGGGAGATGGTGCTGTGATCCGCGAAAACAAGCGAGACAAGACCACGAACAAGGCTGCAGTGGGCAAGACCACAAGTCTGACAACATATAGACCACGGGCGGCGGTTGATGAGCTACAACGGCTCCAAAGAACAGGACATTCAGATTCTGGTGGCACTGCAAAACACGTTTATTGTGTGTTGTAAGGTGTGTGTGTGTGTGTTTATGTGTGTGCTTGTAGGGAGGAAACAGCTTGCACAGCTCCGTGAGCTGGTGTTTCCTGTGTGATCAATTTGTTGACTGGTGAGCTGCAGCGTGACTGTCCACAGAAACCAGAGACTTCCTGTCCGACTGGGGCCTCCTTGGGGCCCAAGCACACATCCCTCAATGTCCTTCTTCGCTTCGCTCATGCACACAAACATCGTCTCCTGAGAGGTCCATGTTCAGATTCCATATGGCTGACTATTCGACTTGTGTCCAAAAGCTGCAAGGGCAAACGTCTTCCCATGTCTTCCCCAAATGTGCCGCACCAATGGGCCGAGCTTGCTGGTCGTGCCCAAGCGGGTGTCACCTACTCAAACAGAGCAGGCATAAATGCAACCTGGAGTAGATGGAACATGAATCAACTATCCCAAAAACTTATCCAGCTTCCTATTATTTTGTTCCACATATATATTTTCAATCTACTTCAGGATAACCATAGGACAAACACACACACACATATATATATATATACACAGCGTAAATGGCACAAACATATATATATATATGAATGTAGAGATCAACAGATTGCCAAACGTTTGCCCAGGGCCAAGCGAAGCCAACGGTAGCACTGGTCGACGGAGTGGCGCAGGACAGAGAAAATAAGAACGGAGAAAATAAGCGACCGAACGGAGATACAGCCCTGTGCCCCTGCGGTCGCGAGCAACATGAATTCGATCATTTGAATCCCAGTCCTCCCACCATCATCTTGGTCGTGAACCACTGCACTTGGGGCCCCCTTTTGACTAGCTTTCTAGTTGCCAAGATTTGCCAAGGTCGTTTGGGGTTCATATCCTTTCGGATTCAGCATCATGTCCCATGATCCGTGGTCTACCGATGTCTACTGGTTGGCAAGGCCTCAAACTCAGGATCAATCTACTGCAACAGTTTCGTTTCCAAGGGGTCTTGCCCTCCAGTGCCTTCTAGGAAGCGCTTGATGGCAGTGCTTTTACCTGACCCTTTATCAGACGAGGTCTCCTGATAGAGTTTTCTGGAGGACTCCTGGATAATATCCTTACATCCAAGAAACATGGGTGTACCGGTGTACCTTTGGACCATTGAATTGCAAGGTGGTAGGCCCACATCATTTGAAGTGTTCCCCTCTAGAACCTAGAATCGGTACCCACGCTTCAAAACTAGTTTACATGACCTCACCAGTATTTCTATACTGCTTGCTTTGGGGGAGTATGGCTTCGAAGGGTTGAAACATGTTAAACCTGACACAACGGATAAAAAGGAGCTCTTCACTTTGAGCCCTCCTCCAAAAATGCACTACATTTGAACGACATTCCCTGAAATCATCATGGGCCAACGTGGATGGCATGGCGTTCTCCGATGATCCACTTGCATGTTCGTAACATCCTCGGAGTGTCACCCTCGCTTCCTGTCCTCAGGATATCCCAAAGCTGAGGACAGCGCCGCTGAGCGAGGCCGAGCGGAGGGGTCCAAGCGGAGAGTGCAACGCAAAGCCTGGTGTTGGTAGGTGGACTGTATATACATCATAAATATATAATATATGTACATGTGTACTGTTTGGTGCATAACCCTCCATAGGAGGTTCCAAAGATTCTTAGGGAATCTTAGGGATATATATATATATATAAGTTGGCGAGACTTCCGTTCCAAATGTTGGAGTTCAATTCCTTTTGCCGACTTCTCTCCGAAGTCTCCTATATTGATGCCCACGAGCAGCGTGACCCGTTCTTTTTATGTCCGACTGTCTACAAAAAAGCGGTCTAACCAGCTTGCATGGGGTTTGAGGATGTTTGTGTATCCAGCCGTCGCGTCCTATTAGTGCTGATGCAACATGGTGGAGCTATTTTACTGAAAAAGCGATGAGCATGAATCTGAATCTTGACTTTGCCATTCTACTTTCAACACGGGGCATGAATGGAATCGCTTACTGTATCTTACTGTGCTTATGAAGTTTCTTCCCATAGGACTCTCTACAGGCCATGCATGTTTTGAGATGATCTTCTCGCTCTGAGTCACTTCGGCCCCACCGCCAGACCGTTCCCGGTCGTATGTATGCACCTGGCCCAGACGTCTCCTGGAAAGAGCAACAGACCTTTCAAGACTTGATGCAAAACGGTGGCCAAGAACTAGGCGCACGGTCCGAGGTTTCTTCGTGTGGTCCCGGACCGGAGGAGGAATGGTAGCTCGAAGCTGGCTCCGTTGGATGAAGCAGAGACGAGACGTAAAGACACGCCAAGTGTTGGGAGCATGAAGACTGGCGGGAGTCAGTGTGTTAGAATGGCCACCATTGAACATGCTGCATTGGACCGGACCATTGTAATTGATATATTCAGGTGGCACTAACCTTGAAAACCCCATTCATTCCAATACGTGTTGTGTCGGAATGAATTTTCACACGTACTCCAGTGTTTTTGGTGTCCTGCCGCCGAGAGACATCTAAATGCAGTCTTTTCTTTTCCCACCCAAGTTTGGGACTTTTCGCTTCGAGGTCCTCCGAAGCCGCCGTAAAACCACGTCCACTGGGCTCAAGAGGAGGTCCGGACGAGGTGGCAAGTCACTGGATCGAGGCGAAAAAAGGAAGAAGTTCGGACACAGAAGGAGTCTAAAAGGCAGCGAACAAGAATAACACAATCAAATCTCAAATATCCAGAAGTTGTATGAAATACATGAACATCATTGAACGTAATTCTGTTTCGCTCCACTTTGATGAGATACCATGGAGGGAAGCAACGTCACGCCACCAGCCATGGACGAACCAGCCCAGAAGCTCCGCAAGACGGGACCTTCCTTCCGTGAGAGGCTCCGGAGCCTCAGGTCCACGGACACTCGGAATCCGAAGCGACAAGTGAAGGATATAGGACGGTAGACGTCGAGCGGCGTACCGGAGGCTTGGATTCGACTCCGGGAGACCCACCCACGAGCGTTCTGGACGGTGATGTTTGTACTGTAGTTATCTTCAGTCCGGACTGGTCGGACTGTCACGTTATACAGACAATCATAGACAATCGGAATTGGTTTGCTTTGTTTGGGGGTACGTTTGGTATGTTTGGTCAGATTCAGGGTTTTAACAAGCAGACTATCATGAATTGTCTCTTTGCAGGTGTCCTATCACGCTCCATCGAACCCACGCTGCCCATGGATCATCTTCGTTTGCCACTATGAGACACAACAATTCCTGAAGACCGCTTGCATGCCCTTCCAAATTGTTCTTTTCTGACGAAGTTCTTTTCCCTGTGAGGGCGCGATCTATCGCTTGAGCCCAGGAGATGGAATCAGAGCTCGAAAAGCCCGAGGAAGCCGAGCTGCCCTTGAAATTGGATCTCATCCGACTTTGATGTAAGCAAACTAGCTGAAGAAAACAACAGACACAGGTCAGTAGGACCATCCAGCTGTTTTTTGCTGATGCTGTGGCCGAGGCTACAGCTGTCTCGCTATTTCATTCCCATGCAGGTCAAAGATCATTTGTTGGAAAGATGTCAGCATCCATTGGCATTGCACTCCCCTAAACTTGTGTTGTGGTTTTGGGCTTGTTCTAGGTTCAAGAATATTTGAAAAAAAAAAGCAATAAAAATGCAAAACCAACCCAAAGCAAAAATGCAAAGAAGACACGCACTGCCTAACAAAATGCAAAAAAATGCAACCCTAAGTGCAAGCTCTCTGAGGTGACAACCACTTACCAGCAGAAGAATTGGCTGTTCAATCTCAACCCACTGGGATGAAAAGAGCCCAAGCAATCCCAAACGTGATTTGGTAACACTAGTTGAACGGTAGAAAGTGTTATTATGCGCTCGCTAGAATGGATGCCCCTACTAGCCGCCGAGCCGTCTATATGGAGTGTAGGACCTAGGAGTTTATGATGGCCGCGCTAGGAAGACCTCAACCCTATAGACTGCAGACTTCGAGACCCCAGGTAGGCCTAGGGCCTAGGGCCTCTAGTCCACAAAGATGGAGGAAGGAAAGCCGAAAGCCAGCACTTTATTTCGCTTTTTTTTTGCACTTCAATTTTGGCAGGTCTACCCCCCCACACTTTCGGCGCATTGTTTTTGCACTTTTTTTGCTTTTTTTTTGTTTTTGTTTTTTTCGCTCTTTTTTCGCTTGTTTTTCGCTTTTTTTCGCATTTTTTTTGCATTTCACTCGAGACATCCTCAAATTTTAGTTTCCCAGATGCTGCCTGGACAGGTTCCCAGGGTCTGCCTGTCCCGCCCCTGTCACCCCCCTGAAAAGTAGAGCCTACCTGTACAGGGTTCCACTCCAACAGCTGATATAGTGTGTCCATGCTTGACTGCTTCAAGGCTCAAAGAGCAAGAGGATAAGACTCTGCGCATAAAAGACACTAGCGGTCTGCACCTCTACCGTGTACGCCCTAGTCACTCTTTCAGTGGTAGCGGAGCAGTGATCCTGGAAGACCCAGGTGAGCTCCTTTCCTAGGCATAGAATTGCTTGTGGGCAAACGGCCATGGATTGGATTGACGACTGGGAAGAGCCTGATGCGGATGTGGCTTATGAGCCAGCAGCCTACGTGAATAGGCATGTGAGAAGAGAACCAGCAGCAATAGCAATGACAACACAGGTCACTACAAAGGTGCCCCCATCTTATGATGGAAAGACTTCATGGTTTTCCTATGAGGATGCCATAGACGATTGGTGTGATATCACCGAGCTGGAAGATGAGAAGAGAGGACCAGCTTTGAGAAACAGATTAGAAGGAGAAGCAGCAGTATACAAACGTGTATTAGACAGAGATTCATTGAAGGCTAATGAGCCACCAGGAGCAGGAGTAGATTACTTCAAACGAGTACTACGACCATATTTCGTGAAAGGATCAACCAATGTATTCCTATACAGGTTTATGCAATTCGTGCGATTCAATCGAGGATCAGCTGACATGATGAAATGGATGACAAGATTCCAGATTTTACTCCAAAGGCTTATGAGCAGTTGGATGGACATGTTAGAACCAGTCACTCAAGCACATCCCCAAGCCCTTGCTCAGATGCAGGCAGATGCAGCGTTGACTGGAGTAGCACCAACGGCAGAAAGGATTCAGGAAATCATGCAGAATGTCAATGGCAATATGAGAATTCTTCATCAGAACGAATTTCCTCTAGGAGAAAATCTCATTGCCTTACTCATGCTGTCACTTGCAGATTTGTCTCAGGACCAGCGAAACACTTTGACTTCTTTGATGACTCATCGTGGCAGGGTCCTGCAGCAATACACCACAACAGAGTTGAGGACAGTGTTCATCGAGATGTTCTGCACGACAAAGACTTCAGTAGACAATCCTTTGATGCAGCCGACAGGTGCTGGAGGTAGAAGATCATTTCTCGTACTAGACGAAGGAGAACTCGATGGTACATTTGGCTATTGGGCCGAAGATGAAGAAGATGGAACTGAAGGATTTTTAGATGCCCTGGACGATGTCTTTTGGGTATATGATGATCAAAACTTCTCATGGTTCCAAAGGAGATTCCAAGGAAGAAGAGCCAGAAAAGGCAAAGGAAAAGGAAGAAGAAAAGGAAAAGGAAAAGGAAGATCAGGCCGCAGATTCTTCAGACCTCGTGGAAAAGGAAAAGGAAAGAGACGAGGTAAAGGCCATTTTGCTGATGAGCAACAGACAACATATCCAGAAGAATACTTTGAAGAGAATCCTTATGAGGACACTTGGGAGTCAAACCAAGGAGCATATGATGCTATTCTTGCCGAAGATATGAATGACTATCTTCAAGGAGAATATGATGATGCCAATGACTTTTGGCAACAGCTTGAAGAAGCATGGTTTTCCCACAAAGGAAAAGGAAAAGGCAAGAGAAAGGGCAAGAAAGGAAAAGGAAAAGATAAAGGAGATGGCAAACAAGATGCAAACTATGCAAATCAACAACAGCCACGTTCTTTACCTGCACCTTCAAGAACTTCACAAGCATCAGGAGGTCAACAAGGTTTCTTTGCGCATTGTGTGACAGCAGCAGCTGAAGTCCATGACAGTGAGGTGGACTTGCTGTCAGGCATGATGACCTCATGCCAAGATGAAGCTGACTGCGTGGTCAACAATGGTGAGACGATCTTCGATGACATGAGTGCCCCTGTGAGGTACTCGTTGTCAAAGGAGATGCTCACAAAGGCTCCTGATGGCTTTGCGCTTATGAGCGCTGAGGAAGAAGTGAAGGAGACGCAGGCTATTTCATTTTTGACTGAGAATCGCTTCCCGCCAACTATTGCAATCCTGGACATTGGATGCACTAGAGCTATGGGATCAAGGCGAGCAGTCGACCATTTTTGCAACTATGTCGACAATCACCCAGATTGTGGATTATGGTACTCTTTTGAGTCTACCAAGAGCAAGTTTTACTTTGCCAATTCCCAGAAGGCTACTTGCTCTCAGAAACTGGTGATTTATATGTATGATCGTGCATGGACGATCCACCATACAGAGTTCGACATAGTGGAAGAAGGAGAAGTCCCTTTGCTTATGAGCTTGCCACAGATGAGGAACTTAGGCTTTGAACTCAGGCTGACACCTCAACATGCTTATCTGACATCGGTGCCTCTTGGTATCAAATTTTTGGAGTTGAAGGTTGCAGCCAGTACTCATCTTGTGTTGGACTTCCAAGATATTGCATGGTATCTGTCTGACGTGCGTTGGCAGACTCAGCGTGAGAAGAGTTTTTACTCTCACCTCACTCACTATGAATATGGCCATATTTCTGTTGAACACAATAGTGATGAAGGTGAAGCTGAGCATGCATATCCTGTGGTTGATTTCTGGGAAGTAGATGTTCACAAGAGAGAACTGATACGTCACCACAAGGATTACAGGAAAATTCTTTTCCCAGCAACTAAGTCCTGTCCTGTAGACACTGACTTGCTGGAAGACTTGCGACTGACAATCATCAAGAAGAAAGCAGGAGGAGAAGAAATCAAGAAGACAGATGATTGGCGCAAGGCAAAATGGAAGGACCTACAACTTGGCTATGAATGGCGTGGTAGAACAATTTTTAAATTTAAGCCAGATGCCAAAATTCCGGATCTAAAGATCAGGAAGGCTGGCATTGAGCACCGTGGCATTGGTGATCCCGATGCAGTGGTGCGCTCCTCCTCAGAGAAGGTTCCCATTGCAAAGGACAGGGAACCAGGCTTCTCATCAGAGAAGGAAGGTGCACCATCCAGTGCCGCGGAAAAGCCCGTGCCGCCAAAGTTTCGGTATACTTCCAAGGGTTTTGATCCATTTTGGAAAGGACACAAGTCGAAACCATCTGAGCCTCAGAATGATTTAAAGGGTGATGATCTTGAGGAGTATGCTCCCTCAGAACCACCTGAGAGGCCAGAAGGTGAACTTGTAGAAATTCCTAAAGCATCAAAAGGACTATCAAGTGATAAACATGAACCACTTGAACCAGGTGATGGCGCTCTTGAGCCTAGGCGGATTTCAATCCCATTACCTGGTAGTGAAGTTGTTGCAATGACACCGGCATATAGGAAGATGTTACAGAGACTGGAGGACAAGGTAGAGCTTTATAAGCTTCATGTGAAGCACTACCATATGAGTCCTACTCAGTTTCGTAGACGTGTTTCTATGTTGAAGCTTCCTGACTCTGTTTTAGAGAAGTATGAATCAGTTGTCAGGAACTGCCGTGTTTGTAACACTTCAGTGGCACCTCCGCCACGAGCCAGAGTCTCCGGTATTAGAGCTTCATGTTTTGGTGATGTTGTTTTTGCTGATCACTGTGAGGTTGAACTTCACAAGAACAAGTATATCATTCTACTTGTTCTTGATGGTGCCACAAATCTTCTCTGGGCTACGGCACAGAAAGACCTCATAGATCAAACCACTATCCAAGCATTGAGGCAATGGTCTGATGAGAACAACTGTGTTCCAAAGGCCATCGTAGGAGACGAAGCCGTTTTCACCGATGCTTTTGTTGAATACTACAGGTTCCATGGTATACAACAATGTCCTTGTGGGCCAAGAACTCCTTGGCCGAACCGAGCAGAGACAGCTGTACGTTTGTTTAAACGTATGTGGCATGTTATGAAGGTAGATCTGGATGACCCACGTTTTCGTGGTGTTACGGTCAGAGAAGTGGTCAAGAAGGTAGTTTGGGCAAGAAATTGTCAGTTGACTATCAGTGGATATTCACCAATAGAGATAGCAACTGGAAGACGTCCACCAGATCTTTTTGACCTTGAGACCGCAAGCCCTGAGCAATTGTCAGCCAATGCCGCCGCACAAGATCGTACAAATTTGGAACTACAACGTGTGGCTTTGAGAGCTCATCAAGAAGCACGACAAGCT